ATCGTGTGGACCATGCAATGCAAAGAAACGTGGTTGGCACAGATAAAAATGAAATGTTTATGAACAGTTCAGGAATGTCTTACTAAGATCACTGAATTTGTTGTCAGCTGGGGTATGTATATGAAAAATGCCCCCTACCTGTTCTTTTCTCCCAAGCAGTTTTAAAAAGTTGAAAGAATTACGTGATGAACATCCACATACAGAATACCTAGACTCCACATTGGTATTTTACTAGATTTATTTTATCACACTCTGCCATCCTTCCAGTCATTGGTCCATCTTGTTTTATTTGAGGCATTGCAGAGTAAAAATTGCAGAAATCAGTTCATTTCAACCCTAAAACTTCAGCATGCACATTATTAACTAGAGTTCAATATTTGCTCTTTTTTCTTTTGGTGTAAAATTTCGTATGAGATACAGATCTTAAGTATCATCTGATGAACCGACAAATACATATACCTGTTTAATACAACCTCTGTCAACGTGAGAACGTTACCGTCAGCCCAGGAGTTCCCTTGTGCACCTTCCCAGGCGATCCCTGTCCCCAACCCCCAGAAGCAATCCCTGTTTTAAATTTTCCACTGTATTAGTTTTGCCTGTTCTAGAACTTTCCATGTATACAATCCTACAGTATTTACTCTTTGCACAAGGTTTCGTTTACCCACCATGATGGGCTGTATCCATGTTATGTATATCAGTAGTTTGAAGGCTGTTGATTCCAGGCTCTGATTGGAGTCCTATATGACCCAAATGCTGTGGACACCTGGGCTGTTTCCATTTTTGACCTATCATGAGGAAAGCGACTATAAACATTCTCGCACAAGCTTCTTCGTGGACATATGTTTTCATTTTCTTGAGTAAACTAGGAGTGGAATTTCTGGGTCTTAGGCTTCGGGATGTGTTTAATTTATTAAAAAACTCCCAGACCTTTTCCCAAGGTGGTTGAACTATTTTATGCTCCCACCAGTGATGGAGGAGAGCTCCACTGGCCTCCCATATCACCAATATTTATTGTCTGTACCTCCCCCCAACCCCTTTTGTTTCTGGCAGTGAGTATCTGCCAGGAATCTCACCATCTTGACCTCTCTGTGGGCAGCTCTGGCCTAAGCTGTGACTCTGCATGTCACGCATGCGTTTGCAGGACCAGCCCCAACCGCAGTCCTGTGGTGGGGGGGCCCACAACATACAGCGCAGGGATCTGGCCTTCAGGCGACAGTTCCGTCTTAAAAGGAAATGCAGGAATAATTGACACCATTTCGTGAGCACCTGCGATAATCTGTTTACATTGTCTGTCTTAATCTCTATGCAAATTCTACAAGAGAGACACTCCCAGTTGAAAAATAAGGTAACTGAGGCTAAAAGAGGTTGCCGAGGTCGCCTGTGGCCACTTAGTGGTGGAGTTGGAATTTTAGCATAGTCTTTTTTTTTTCCCACATTTAAAAAAATAAATTTACTTATTTATTTATTTATTTATATTTATTTTTATTGAGTTATAGTCAGTTGACAATGTTGTGTCAATTTGTGGTGTACAGCACAATTCTTCAGTCATACATGAACATACATATATTCATTTTCATATTCTTTTTCACCATAAGCTACTGTAAGATATCAAATACAGTTCCCTGTGCTATACAGTATAAACTTGTTTATCTGTTTTACATACACAAGTCAGTATCTGCAAATCTTGGACTCCCAGTTTATCCCTTCCCACTCTCCTCCCCCCGGCAACCACAAGTCTGCATTCTATGTCTGTGAGTCTGTTTCTGTTTTATATATAAGTTCATTTGTCTGTTCTATTTTTAGATTCCAGATATGAGTGATCTCATATGGTATTTTTCTTTCTCTTTCTGGGTAACTTCATTTCGAATGACATTCTCCAGGGACATCCGTGTTGCTGCAAAATGGCATTATGTTGTCATTTCTTATGGCTGAGTAGTATTCCATTGTATAAATACACCACAGCTTCTTTATCCAGTCATCTGTCGATGGACATTTAGGTCAGCACAGGGAGTCTTGATTCCATGGTCATAAGATTCGTGCTTTACATTGGCTCATGTTGCTGAACAGAAGTTCCTAGAGCAAGTCAGATTTTTATCTTTTTAAGTTGATCATTAATCGGGGTTGGCTTTGTACCATTATGGTAAGAAGCTCAAGTACTACCCAGCTGAAAATCTACAAATATTCTAACCCCACGTTCTCATTAAAAATAGATTATCTTTGTAATGTCTTGATTGCCCTCACTGTCTTGGCAAGGTTGTTTAGATATACGTATGTCAGAGGCAAAGCGAGGTGAAAGCTTTTCCGTATTGATCTTTTGATCCTTCCCCACTTCCCTGAATGGTGAATATTTTTTTCCCCGCAATGAGTGTATCTCCATCCTCTAGCTAGACTTAACTCCCTAAAGAGCAGGGGATGATGATGATAATGATAATTTTAAAACGTAGATTTACCAAATGCCAGGTACTGTATTCAACACTATACTGGAGCTGTCTCAGTACTCAGTAATTCTCACCGTGATCCAATGGTAGACACCCTAAACCCTATTTTGGAGAAAAAGAAACTAGATTTAGAGAGATGAAGCAATTTGCCCAAAGTCGCTTAGGGCACAAGTGGACGCGCTGGGATTGGAACCCAGCCAGCTGTGTTCCAGTGCCAGGGGGCCCTTAGACCTACTGCTAGTGGCGCATTTTATGCTCACCTGCTGGCACAATGCATTCATTCTTAGTAACTGAAGCCTGGCTGTTCAGTTCATTCAGTTAAGAGTCCTCTCTGAGGCTGGTCCTCTGTGGGGCAGCAG